ATAGTCTTGTGTTGCATCAAACATGCCACATGTGGACATGCATTGTTGTGGAGAAGAAGAACACCTTTCCGATTGACAAGTGAAGAGCATTTCTGATGAAGGGCTTGATTTAAACATTCCAGCTGCTGACTATAGATTTCTGCATTAACAGTTCGCTGTGGATTGAGGAGTTAGAAATGAATTACAAAGCATCACTTTCTGCGGATGGAGTCCAGGTTTTGGGGTTGGAAGTGGTTTTGTGTCTAGGGCTGAGCCATTGTTTTTGGCATTTAATATTCACATAGGGAATCCATTTTTCATCACTAGTGACAATTCTGTCCAAAAATGGTTCATGTGCATTATACGTCAGAAGAGATGAAGCAACATTCACACATTCAGAGTATCAATATCAATTCCAACATGTCGGCCCCTGCCATCACAGTTTTTAAGGATAATGCCACCTGAACGAAATTTGCTGAATCGTCATTGACACTTATGAATGTTCAAAACATATCCATAAACTTATTTTATATTCTTTATGGCTACAGAGGCATTATTTCCCTTCTTGTATTCAAACAGTATTACCTGCCAAATGTGTGTCTTGTCATGTGCCATCACTATAAGGGATGAGAGTATACTAAACTTTACACATTATATAGGCTACACTAACATGACATTTAGGCAATTCGTTTGACTATTATACATGATGTACGTTTTTAGGGAGATGGTTAATGAAAGTTTTTCAAAATGCAACATTAATTTCTTGACGACCTAATATATATATGTATGTTTGTCGAAATTAACATATCAATAAAATGTTTTTATTGATGTTTATTCCTACAAATTATTATTACAAAGCTTTTGTGTTAACTAGTACCATTGGCTAGCTGGTCCTCAGATCGAAATTACAAACAGCTATACCTGAACCTTAGGGGTCTGACCTGGCCATTTAGTCACTTTGCATATACTATGTTGTTCAGGTTGAAACATTTAACTTGCAGTTCCTCTCATGAGTTGTACATACTCATGAGTCAACATTAAAACTAGCTGAAGTCATAAAAAGCATGTAGAAATAAAAGTTTTGGCTGGTCAAGTATATTCCATACAAATAATTGAAGCAAGGCTCCATGGTTCAGCAGGAGTTGTATACAAAACTGAAAAGTTCATGTGAACTTGGCATTGTTAATAGTATAAGTAGTTATGGTAGAAAACCATAGCTGCACAAAATTGTTACATTTTTTTTGAGTTAATTATACATTACATTTTGCCAATGCTGTAAATACAGGTGTGAATGTTACCTAAAAATATAAGATACACATTAGCAGGAAATGGTTTCAGTGAATATATAGTTGCTCAAAGACCATTGCCAAATGAGTATCAGACCACAAACAGTGAAACGAGTAAACCTGTTTATGTGTGCCCTTTACAGATGAAATCAAATTCAAATTATTTGGGAACAATCAATGACAGCTTGTTCAACAGTCCAAAGGAGAGCAGTATCATAGCCAATGTACATCATCTACTGTGATGCACAGAGGGAGAGATCATTACAAGTGTGGGCTGCATTTCAGCCAATAATGACACCCTGACTGCAGACAAATACAGACAGGTTCTGATCCATCATGCCCTTTCCTCAGAAACATGACTTATTTCACTTATTGAGTGAATATTCTTCTCCCAACAAGACAGGATCTCAAGTTTACAGAAAATGTGATGGAACGATATCTTGATGGTAAAATGGTCAATGGAACATTCACAACCATGGTAAAGGTCCCAATTTAAGCATTTTTAAAGCTGTATGGACTTATGTAAAAACTGAGAAGTTCAAAAGGCAACCAAATAACCTGACTGTTTTGCAGGGAATAATACAAGACATTTGGAACAATATTTCATAATCTCACAATCTAAACTGTATGGCATCATGAAAATAATGTTTAATGCTTTGTGTAAAGCAAAGGGCTTACATACAAATAGTGCATTGGACAACTTATTCCCTTTTATTTTGTATTTTCTGTGATATTTTGTTACATTGATAAATTATCCATCTAGTTGCCATTACTTGTTTTTGACTCTTGTGTGTGTATTTCACCTTAAACTATGGTTGTATTTCATTGTTTTGGTGACGCCTCAAGCAAATGCTTGAGTGTTTGTTTGAAACTTGGCCAAGAAAATAAAATACAACTACCGTCTTTTAAGGATGATCTATTTCCAAAAGTCTAATTTCTATATTTTATCACCTTCACATTTTTCTACTTGTATATTCCTGTATGCATAGTACTTGTATGTTTTTCTGTAATTATTTCCATTACCATATTTTCCTCTGTATTCTCTTAGTATTAGATGAAAATAAAAAAACTATGTATATTGCCAGAAAAATGTTTTTTTTTTTCATGATTTAATCTATTTCTTGTAATAGATACAAATATAACTGAAATACATCGAGAAAAAGAAAAATCTTAATGTTTATCAGTAGTAAAAATCTAACACACTCCTATTATATTTAAGACCTTAAGTAATGATTGGCTTTAAAATCAATTTAGCTTATTGAAATATCAAATTGTTTTGACTATTAATAGTTGGTTTAATAACTGTTTTTTTTTTCATACTTCATGATGATGTGCTGACAAATAGGAATGACTGCACTTGGTATGTATAATCTGAATTTTATTGGGGTGATACAATTACTTAAACTGCAACATGTACAATAAAAAATTATTAAAGTTATTCAAAACATACCAGTTTCCTGGGAAGTTTGTGGGCTCCTGAACATGATTTTAACCCTTTTTTCATGTACATTTAAAAATACTGTTTTATCTATGAAATAATCTGTCTATCCATCAAGCTATTGTATAGTAATCTATTTATTTCTCTATCAGTCTCTTTGGTAGTTTATTTTCTTTTTTGAAAGCTTATTGAATTATTTTTTATTTTTATCAATTTGTTGTTTATTATTTTATCTGCTTGTTCATTAGGTAGTGTATCAGTATAGTTGGTGTATCAGTTTATCTATTTGTTCATCTAGCTGTTAATCTGTCAGTTAATACATTTACATAAGTCTGTCCATCCATTGTTACTTCTTCTTTTATTCTAACTGTCTTAACATTACTAGTTGTGGTAATGTAATTTATAATTATATTTTATTAAGTGGAATCAATTCAGGCCAGTTTTCCTCGTCCACGATCACCACACATGAACAATGAAGAACCTATAGAATTGTCCCATTATCCTGGAGCTCAACGACCTGACCCCTCTGATGTACCAAAGATAGAAAGAGATGATTTTCCAGCACCTCCATTCCCATACACAGATTCAGGTATTCTGAGTGTGTTCTTATTTTATCTTGTACTATGTGACTTGCATAATGTTACTTGTTGGTTTATAAATCTGATGTAACATTAGATTGTTGGAAAATGGCCCATTACTAAACCACATTTTGTTATTTATTAATTTGTTTTTCAGTTCTTTAAAACCAAACCAAGATTATAGATGTACCATGAGAATATTGCTTTTTGTGATAAAATTGAGCTGTATCAAGCTCTAGAAGTAAGCCATTAAAGGTCCATCAATCTTAAAAAAAACTTGATCACGTCTTACTAACTTTATGATTTTTTTTGCCTGTCAGATTTTATGCAAATAATATCTATTATATATTTGTGAATGTATGTCTGTTTGTTTGTTTGTTCCTAATACAAATCGATATGGACCACTCTACAAATGTCAAAATAGGTTCATTAGGACCAACTTTTCATCCAGAATGTCATGAACACATTGGATTTCACTTTTGAAGCCAAAAACTGGTGAAAATCAGTCTTCATCATCAAAAATTGGTGAAAACATTATGAAAATCAATTTCAAACATACTAAAACTGCCCAAACATGTTCAGTTTGCATAACAGCTATTCATCACCTTGCTGAATTTCAGAATGTCAGAAGTTTCTAGAATGTTCAGAGTCATCTCCAAACAACATTTCAATTATTGTCACTACCGATTTCAAAACTTCTAGAAGATTCTAGAGATCTCTCCATACTACTTGAATATAGCAAATCAGGCTATATAAGGCCTGCATTCAATTTTTTTCTTCAGAGTCCTAGATATCAAACTCGAAGATCTCTCCATACTATTTGAGTGTAGCAACTCAAGCTATATAAGGCTTGTATTCAATTTTCTGTTTCAGATTCGATATTAAACTTCCAGCAGTGATTGTTCAATAAGTGCCACTGCTGTACACCAGTATTATCCGAAACTCCACCTCAAGATGGGACCAAAGCAACGAAAAAATATTGGCAGAAGCTCTTCAAAAGCTCGCAGAGTTCGAGAAACAAGGGATCAAGAGACAGCTGAGGAACATCAATCTCGCATCAGTGCACAAGCCTCCAGATAGGCACATAGCATAGCAGGCAGTGGGAAACAGAAGAGCAGCACCAGGCCCGCCTCAGTACTCAGGCCTCCAGACAGGCATGTAGCAGGCAGCGGGAAACAGAAGAGCAGCACACACCCGTCTCAGTGCTCAGGCCTCGAGACAAGCAAGGAGCAGGCTGGAGGAAACAGAAGAGCAGCATCAGGCCCGCCTGAGTGCTCAGGCTTCCAGACAAGCAAGGATCAGACTACAGGAAACAGAAGAGCAGCATCAGGTTTGCCTGAGTGCTCATGCCTCCTGACAAGCAAGGAGCAGACTGCAGGAAACTGAAGAGCAGCATCAGGCCCGCCTGAGTGCTCAGGTTTCCAGACAAGCAAGGAGCAGGCTACAGGAAGCAGAAGAACAGCATCAGTCTTGCCTCACTGCTGATGCCACCAGGCATTCACAAACCAGACAACAAGAGTCTGCTGAAGAAGAACAAGCAAGACTCCAAGCAATGTGCACAAGAACTGCCACGCAAAGGGCATTACTATTTACTGTGGCCAATATGCTAAATGCTGGTTTCAATTACTCAGCTGACATTGAATATTCTTGTATAAATGCAGTCAAAATTGGTTTCATGTCAGAACTATGCCAACACT